TGCAGAATAAGAAACCTTCACACCTTTCTTGTGAAACTACGTCAAATATTCTTGGAATTTAAATTTCCATATGTTGATCTAAGAGTAATCAAGAAAGCAACCTCTCTACTCCTAGGGATAGAGGTAAGGTCTGCGTACATCTCACCCTTTCCAGACCCCACTTTTGAGGGGGACATACTGGCTATGTTTGGATTGGTTATATAGGAGTTAGTTAACACACATCTTTAAATGTAATAAAGATAATTCCTCTGTTTCAATATGGTTGCTTTTCTATGATTTGTTCATTATACAGATTTTCCTGACAATGCAATTTTCTTTTTAGGGTGATAGAGTCTCTAATAGATTGTTTTACTTGTCAATACCTCCCAATATTTTCGTGGATGTGGTGAAATATGCAAGTGGCAAAGCATCTTCAACAAGTGGTTGGACAAGGGTCATAGTTGAAAAGCCGTTTGGACGTGATTCAGAGTCATCAAGACAGCTAACTAGATGTCTAATGAAGTATTTAGCTGAGGAACAAATATTCAGGTAAGTCTTTTATATGCTCTTTTATAATTTATGTTTTATGGGCAATTTAGTAAAGTTATCTTCTTTTTTTTTGGTTGACTAAGAATTGACCATTACCTTGGAAAGGAGCTAGTGGAGAACCTATCAGTTCTTCGTTTCTCAAATCTTGTTTTCGAGCCTCTCTGGTCCAGAGACTACATTCGCAGTGTGCAGTTTATATTCTCTGAGGATTTTGGTACTGAGGGAAGAGGAGGGTGAGGCACAATCTTCTAATGCTCGTAGTTCAATACTTCAGTTGAATAGTATTGCTTTTGAATTTCCAACCCATTAATTTAGCCTCTCTTTTTTAACAGATACTTTGACAATTATGGGATCATCAGAGACATTATGCAAAACCATTTGCTTCAAATATTAGCATTGTTTGCAATGGAACCGCCCATCAGCTTGGATGCTGAAGATGTCCGAAATGAAAAGGTTTCTAATACTTTTACAATACATATCTTGTCCTCGTACATATATTATCTCTGTTCTTATCCATTCCTTCTTATGCAATAGATATAAAGTTCATGAAGTTTACAATCATAGATGGCTTGAATTTCGGAGAAACAAATTGTTCTCATAATTTCTCTATGATATTTTCTAAGCATTATAAATATATGGAAAATAAATAATGGTATTTCATTGCCCCTTGCATATCCTAGTTAAAGCCAAACATTAAAAAGAACTAATTTCACTTTGCATTTTCACATGTTCCAAACATACCCCAGGTGAAAGTCTTAAGGTCGATGAGACCATTGCAGCTTGAAGATGTGATTATAGGGCAGTATAAAGGGCATAGCAAGGGTATAAAGTCCTATCCAGGATATACAGACGACCCAACTGTGCCCAAAGACAGTATTACCCCAACCTTTGCTGCTTTAGCTTTATTCATTAATAATGCCCGCTGGGATGGGGTTCCTTTCCTTATGAAAGCTGGAAAAGCACTGCACACTAAGCGGTATGTAGAAATTAACTTTACATTTTTTTTAAATCGGGGAAAATATTCACATGCATTCTTTCTTGTTCTTGTGAAAATGCAGAGCAGAGATCAGGGTTCAATTCAGACACGTGCCTGGAAATTTGTTCAAGAAAAACTTTGGAACTGATTTGGACAAAGCAACAAATGAGTTGGTGCTTCGCTTACAACCAGATGAAGCCATTTACTTGAAAATCAACAACAAGATTCCCGGTCTAGGGATGAGACTTGACCGGAGTGACCTTAATCTTTTATACAAAGCAAAGTAACATTTTTTTTCCAATTTTCTTTACCACTTTATTTGGGGAAAAACTAAATTATCATGGGGGACTTAATTTTCTTTATCTAAGCACATCTTCTTGAGTTATCATGTAGCTTTTTCTTGTACAATATGACTTTGGGAGTAAAGAATTAGGTAAGAAATAAATGGGGGAGAAACTCAAACTTTTTGTTGTTTGCATGGAGAAAAAAAGGTGGAGAAAATTCCATGTGAGACCCGCCTTAAAATCTGTCTAAAAACAGAGAAAAGTTGGGAAGCGAAGAAATTCTGGAACCATTACCATTTTATGAGACTGAATGTTTTTCTCTACATAACAATATCTACCTAAAGTATGGGACAAACAAGTCTACAACAAATGTCAACTATTTTTTATCTTTTAATGTTTCTTTTTAAAATTTTTTGAATCTAAACACTAAAATCCTAGTCATCTTCCCCTCTCATACTTCTTTTTGGCCTACTGAATTCTTTACCATTTATCTATTTGCCCAACCAAAGCAATAACATGATAGACTTCATTACTGAACTGTCATATTTTTTTTAAAGGTATCGGAGTGAAATACCAGATGCATATGAGAGGCTGCTGTTGGACGCGATAGAAGGAGAGCGCAGGCTGTTCATAAGAAGTGATGAGCTGGATGCTGCTTGGGCGTTGTTTACACCTTTATTAAAAGAAATGGAAGAGAAGAAGATTGGACCTGAGATGTATCCATATGGCAGCAGGGGTCCTGTTGGGGCCTACTATCTTGCTGCAAAGCATAATGTTCGTTGGGGAGATCTGTCTGGTGATGAAGATTGACTATATTTGTACATAGTATATTACAATGTTCAATAGTCTTCTATACATCCTCCCCAATGTCCCCATGATAATAATTGATTGTGTATAAGTTGTGTTTTGGGGTGGGATAGAATCAACATATTGTTCTTGCTTCAGAATTTGCCCTTGGCTTTTCTCCATGAATATTACTAAATTAAATTCAAAAGACAAAAATATGACTTATTTTAAAAATTTCCAAAAACGTGATTGTCCACAAAACATAATTAGTCATATTTTTGTCCCAAGAAATTCTGTTAGTAATATACATATCATTTTTTTCTTTACCCTTTGTAAAAGATGTTATAATATAAAAGATTAATCGTTTTTCAGTTTGGAAAAAAGTGCATTACCTGTATTAGTTGAAAATGAGCATTTGTGACCGACTTTAACCAGTTAATGTATTTGTGGTGTACTTCATCACTTGGGCACTTCAGAAGTTCGGATGCATTTGTAGTATCTTTTCATTACTTTTTATCTAAGTACTAAGTAGCGCACACAATTAATTTGGTGTTCCGTTGATAGGGTGGTATATCTGAGTTTTGCATAAAATGTAGTTTTCAAATTGTTCAGTGCTATACAAAAAACTAAATGTAATGATAAATCGTTCAAAATTAGATCGTGATTTACTAATGTTCTTTAAATCCATGTGGAAAAAGATATTGAGTGTTTACATTTTTTCGAATAGTTGGACTATCAATGTTTTTACTTGGATTATTTTTGGTTCAAGACCAGACTTAAACAGAACATACCAGACTTGACTTACATAGTTATAAAATACATAGAGATCAGATGTTTACAAGATCAGATCAGATCAGACTTAAACAAATCAAACTAGATTTAAACAATTCAGACGAGATCAGACCAGCAAATGACAGTCCAAGTAAAAACATCCTATTAGGGCATGGTATGGTATGAATAGGTATGATTCACCACTGTATCGTTTCAACACGAGATGGTATGGACGACTTATAACAAATGACCTGAAAACATATGCCAGTTTTAGACTATCAATTTATAAATGACGTATAATCAACTATAATGACCTTACCGAAAAGATATGCAAATTTTTAATGTCTAAATCCCAATCTTCATTCTTTTAGCAAACATTTTTTTTTGTTTTTGTGGTATTGTATCATGAACAAAATAAGCACATAAAAAGCACGAGGTGACAAAGTCGATAATTAATAATGATGTTTGTTATTCTATGATTTCTATCTCATGAGATATATCCTTTGTCAAAGGATATATCTCATGAGATATTACATCGATACACCATCTCAGTATTGGACTGGTGTTATTCTCGTTTTGTATCACCTAACTAGCAAAGTGACTTCATCGGTAATTAATAATGATGTTTGTTATTAACAGAGTGCGTGAGTATCAACCAAATGATGATTCTTACATGCATCAACATCATTTTGTGGAGGTGTGTGAATTCAAGAGGACTGGTGGAGTATTCCCCGAGAAGCCATGAATTGAGTAAATGTGTTTGAGAAGAATTGGAATTTGTGAAGAAAAATCAAATTGGTCTTGACTTTGCATGGGTCTCACTGACAAAGTTGTTTTTCAAGAAGACATGACTCACAATCTAAGGAGGGAAGATGATATAAATCTGGAACCATTCTTTGGAGCTATGAGAGGTTTGGATGACCTAAGCGATTATGTATAGTAATTGCTTACTCGGCCGACACACAAGCAACTTAATCGCTTACCTAATCGATTATGTATAATAGAGACCATGAGATTCATGTTCAACGCCAATCACGTTTCCTGAAACAATCCTGCACAACTACAGAGTCAGATGAAAAGATTAAACATACAAGATTAAATGGACTGTTTTCAACATACAAGACATGTTCTAAGAATTAAGATGATTGTGGAAGATCTGACCTACTTCTATAGCTGGAGGTTAATGTCCATTAGCGAGGGTAGTATGCGGTAAATGTAAAAGTTTAGATAAATTTGATAAAAGATGAGAATTACCAAAAACATTATCTCCGAAGCACCTAAGTGACCTAACCAAGAACCCACTGACTAAAAGTGTTTGAAGCACATGCTCTAGGCACACCTTGGAAAATATTTGATGTCTTGAATTTTGGGTATTCCTCAAATTTATCTCATGAATATAATGTACAATTGGAGACAGTGATATATTGGCTAATTTAGGAAAGAAACTAGGCATGTTCATCAAGGACAGTGATATATGGTGCAGCTTTTTGTACCTCGAGCGCAAGTTTCCAAGTTGTAAATTGAGCACGAAGGTAAGTTGATAACTCGAAGGCACTCCAATGTCAATCGCGACCACTTTCACATCGGAATTTCTTCCGAGAATCTATGCCGGGAGAAGTATGACACCAGTATGCCATTTTGACTCTAATACCATGTGAAATAACTCTTTTGGTTATTCATGCATTAAAGAATTACACCAACTGTATTTAGAACTACAAGTCTACAACTAGGACAAACTACAAAAAGTGGACTAGACCCAATGCAACTAGGGTTAGGGTTTCATCACTTTCCTTACATGTCATGTTGTCTACTTGTCTCAGAATATGTTACTGTACTGCTAATAAAACATACACTATAAATCTAATATAACTAAACAACACTTAATATCAAGCATTCCATTCTCTGAATGTAAAATTTATTCTGTAATTGCTCTATAACAAGTAGCTCCACCAAGTCCACCCCCACTAAACCATGCCCTCATTTTTGGGTTCATTCCAAGCGAAATAAAGTCCTCCTGATAACGTTCTGTTAAATCAAAATGATCCCATCATACTTGAGCCAATCCTTTCTTGATGAGCATATCATAAACTCTGTCCACTTTGCTTGGATCGACATTGAAGAGACGATGTGCATCACCCTTCTTTGTGATGTTGCCACTCAAGACTCCTGTGGAAAGGGTTTCCATGATGTTTAGATAATGTGTAGGCAAAAGTCTGATCTCCCCACAGAGTTGTTTCTCCTGCATGTTATTCAGAACAGAATTAGAACCTCCAAAATAAATATTATCTCTCCCTTTTTTCCGTGTAGTTTTTCTTCTAGGCCAAGTGCATTCTCTTAGGGTCTGTTTGGATGGAATTTTTTTGGGGGGTGGGCTGTGGTGGTGGGGAGGTTAATGCATATCTTGATATATATATATATATATATATATATATATATATATATATATATATATTGTTTCTAACGACAAATAAAAGCTGGAATGAAATGTCATACGATCAAATATTGTGTTAATCTTTCATTTTAAAAATTTTAAAAATATTTGTATATGAGGAAATAGACTAAACCCTCCAAAACTTTCCCCTCCCGAAACCCTCCATCCAAACAGACCCTTAGGGTTTTCTGGATGTAAGGTTTTGGAGGAAGGGCTCTGGAGCCCAAGTGTATATATATCTTCATATGTTTATCTTTGAGAAGTTATATCGGAAGAATAACATCATGGGTGATCATATCATATTTCAATCACCCATTATTCGTTCAGATATAGACTAAAGCCTTCTAAAGCATTTTCCTCTAAAACCTTCCAAGCCCTCCATCCAAACAGACCCCTATAGATTCGGAACTCGTAGAATTGTTAAAGCATTCTTCCAAGATGTACCAGATCTAAAGAAAAAAATGGCAGTGAAAACTAAAAAACGCCCATACATGATCAGAGAGTAGATCAGCTCCAATAAATCCACTGACATCCCACATATCTGCGGCATTTCCAACATGATGCTGCTCTTTTGGGGTAGAGGAAAATTCCTTTGCACTTGAATCTAATACAACAGGCCCTCTAGCACCTCTGGGGCTGCTTACATGTTCTTCCTTGATATTATTAGCTCTTTGAACATATTTTCCATTTGGGGCAGTCTGTAAATTCTCCTTCACTCTACGGGTATTTTCCTCCACTTCCCTTTTTCTCTTCTGCTCAACATACCTTTCAGCCTCCGCAGAAGTTCGGCAGCCAGCAGCTCGTGCTGCCTGGGAAGTGATATATAGTTTTGAGTCTATTTTCAGCAAACTTATTGACAGGGGAACGCAGCATTAGGTCATACACGAAAACTTTTGTAAGATCGTTAAACCATTTGCTATGAATAAAAACGAGGCTTTCCAAAGAGAACTGGTTTATGATTCTAACTATTTGCCAAGGACATGACCATTACAATGTACACATTGTTTGCCTTAATAATCAGGACTTTTCAAAACTTAGAAATAATATTTCGTAAGAGAGCGGGATGCGAGTAGGCTTTAGAGAGAGCAAAGTGGAGTGCGCATATTCATGTGGACGATTGATCTCTTTTCTCTCTCTTTTTCTTTTATCTTTCATCTTCTTTATCTTTCTATGTTCTTATGTTACTTTTATCTTTTATCTTCTCTTTTTCTTTTATCTTTCATCTTCTTTATCTTTCTATGTTCTTATGTTACTTTTATCTTTTATCTTTCTTATGCTCTTTTGTCTTTTTATTTTTTCATCTTTCTTATGGATTGATTCATGTTAGCCGACCCCAAAATCTTTTGCGAATAAGGTTTGGATGTTGTGGTTGTTATAGAGGGCGGGAAATTGAGTTATAAACACGTACAAATTACATACAGCACACTACCTGAAGATCTTGTATTCTTCTCAAAATACGATGCTCTTCAATAACACTGCTAAGTAACACCCCATGTTCTTCTTTTGTATGAAATCTCATAAACACCCTGTACCTACGACATATTTCTTTCTCCTCTGGGGTTAGGTCCTTTTCAAAAGGATCAGGATAAAGTAAATTTCTTTCCAATATAAAGTCCTTCCTGCGTTTCCTTTCATCAAGCCTACACATGAAAAAGAAATAAGTACAATTAATGAAGTTGGAACGTTTTGTTTAAACAGAAGTAAAAAGTAAAAACCAGTAAATTATGCTAGACAAACAATAGGATCCAAAAATATGTTTCAAGAGAGATTTCACTTCATTTGGAGCTGAGATTCCATACCAACTAACCTATACATGAGCCGCTAATTCAAATCAGTTCATATTATGAGTCCTAGTTTTTCTGCTGTCAGTGGAGGAAACTTAAGATAATAGACTTTTTCAAGTTCAATGTGGTACATAAGTAAGTTATAGTTATTAATCTATTATAACATACATAAAATCTAATGTAGAGACCACATCGCCCAGATAGCAAGTCAATATGTGCATCAGATATTTGGAATAAGGAAACAGCTTCAAATAATAAAAACTGAAAATTTTCATATTGTTCCGTATGTTCGAAAAATGTGTTAAAAATTGCATTAAATGGTCAATTTGGGGAAATATTTTGAGTGGGGTCCACTTCCGATTTGGGTCGGGTCAAAGTGGTTTCGGATTGAATCATACACGTTCACATGCAATCTGCACGTAGTTTTTAGCTCTAAAAACACTTCCAGCTACTCCGAAAATTTCCTTGGTGTTCTACCTTTGTTCCCGTTCGCCGGAACTTTCGTTTGTGTGCTCAAAGTTAGTTCGTTAGCCACCGTATCCTGGGAAACGGTTGTTGCAACGCTCCTAGCACCGTGGGAGGCGACGAATACGTTTTAAGGACATCGTGCGTAGCACGAGCTCTGCCTAATTTCTGTCCATAATCTATTTTGTGTTTTCTTTAGTCATTTAATTAATTAATTTTTATTAATTATTTTCTTTGTTTTTCGAAACACACCCACCACCATATACAGCCAGACAGCAACATACATGCTAGGAAAGAGAACCAAAATTGAAAAATGTACCCAGCATGCATTATCTTTAACATTCAGAGTATGGGTGCCTGTGCTCATGAAAATACGGAGTCCTTGATAAATACCATAAGGAGGTTGCAACAAGATAGTTGGAAAGAAGTGATTTTACTTTGACATACACAAGAATGAGGGAGATAGTTGAAGGTGGCTTACCTCTTCAAGTATATATGCAGCACCCGAAGTTTTAGTTTACGTTCCGCATCTGTATCTGTATCCTTAAACTCCATATCGGCCAGTAACTGCTCAGCATCATTATCATATTCAATTTCAAACTCCTGTCTTTTGAAATTATAACCACTCAGTTCTGTCACAGATGGCCCTTCGTCTACTGAAGTCCTAGGCTTCTTTTCTCCACGACTCCTGTCTGCATGGGTATCTGGTAGTACAACTAATGATTTAACACATACTGTAAATTTCCTCCACATAATATTACAAACAAATCCCCAGCAAGATCATTAACTAGACAGTAAAAGGTGAGCATCTTATGCTTCCATCAATAACAGGCACAATACGCAAATAATTATAATTAAATAGGTATTGTACACTTGTACAGAAACATCTACATGTGTGTGTAATCATATTCTTCATAAAAAAACATCTTAAATTCCATAATTCCACTATCAGTTAAAACTATGCACCATATACAGAAACAGTATACATTAGATATTTAGATTTCAAATGTGAAGTCCTCAAAGCAGTTCATACCTTCTACTTTAATGCCATCATAGCAATCATTATTATGGGCCACACTGGATACCCTCTTACCAGCTCCACTCGGTGCATCACAAGGGACCATATCTGCTAGGGAAACAATAATGTCAGCACAGGACAACACGCACAAAACACCTTGGATTGGGTTGGCCTACTTCACTTCAGTGAGCATTGAACTATAATGAGCATGTTTAGTATCAAGTCAAAACTAAACAATGCTTTGTTGTTTTGCTAAACTTTTTATTGGTATATTTTTTGATAGACTAGTTATTAGAGTCTTAGCTACAAAGGGCTCAATCAAATCTTGTTGGTTTACTAATTTGTTTAGAAGAGTTACGACATGGGGGGTGACCTGTTTCAAATAGCTATTTTTCTCTATGATAAAGGGGGTTGAGAGAAACATTTTCCATGGCAGTAAAACCATCTGGTGTTTTGAGTATATATAACTATATGGCTGTCCGGTTTAGGTGATCTAAGATGTCTTGCCATGATATTTATGCAGCTACACTTTGCAGAAGTAACTGAAGTGAAGGTCCATTGTTAAGGCAGTCAAAATATGTTATATTTTGTGTTGGTGTTCATCAGCCACTGCATTATCAATCTATAGATCTTTTGATGGGTTGGGTACTTGGGTTGTAGATGCAAGAACATCTAGTGATGTTCTGTACTTGTTCCAACTGTCTACTCAACACCCATGTACAACCAGTAGCGTATCCAGGATTTCTTGTTAGGAGGGTGAACTTACACTTAATTGTAGCACATATTACACAAATAGTCGACCACATTGTGAACAATATTTTCTAAAGTTATTTTTAAATAATGAACTATTCATTCAGCAAAATGATTATGATATCATAATTTACTTTTCCTTTAATCCAAAAATTAGCTCCACAATTCTTTTAAATAAAATAGTTCATTGTTGATATAATTTCACTTTCTTAGAAATAAATTCAAGCACACAATCTGTAATATGACGAAACTTATGTGAATAAATAAATGAATTAAATAAAAAACGGATCTAGTATGCAACTAGAATTAATATATATTGAAAATGCACAAGCATATTTAAATATCAGTTGAATTAAAACTTAACTTATTTCAAGTTAGTTTAGATCTATCAAAATGGAAAAAGTTAAACAAAACTATCTAAAGTCATTTTGAAAATTTAACCAAAAATATATTACCACTCCTTCCACTGCTTTTGTCTTGTAGAATTGCCGTTTATCTTTAATATATAACCTTTTAACACAAATTCATATATACATTATATATACTATTATATATACAAGGGTTGGGTGGGGGTTGAGAGGGGGCAGCTTTCCCCCTTGCCCCCACCTTTGAATCAACCCCTGTGTACAATAGCCCATGATGCTTTAATTCATTGCATCGTAAAGCTCCTATGTTTTAACAGTTAGCATTAGAGATGTGTACTGTCTATATTTATTGAAAGGGCGCCTTAGCACACCTGTTTAGGTGTTGTTGTATGACCGAGAGGTCACAGGTTCAAGTTTTGGGAGCAGCCACTTGTCAAAAATTGACAGTGGAAGGCTTTCCCACCACTCACCGTTGTGGTGGGACCCTTCCCCATCCCTTTCCTTCCGGGTAACCCAATGTGCACCATGCTGCCCTCTTTTTACTGTATATGTATTAGTTACGTAGTATATTACAAGGAAAGGTCTTAGTCACATAACAGTAGTGGAGATAATCACTCTCTAAATAGTCGTTCTTCGAAATATTCATACAGAAACTTTGAATGCAATCATGCATAATCAACTACTACCTCTGTCCTATTATGATTGGGACATGGGAATGTCACACAAATATTAAGGAGAGTAAAACTATGTGGTTATATTCAATTTGTAAAGAATGAATGATTTTGAACCACAAAAGTTTTACCAAATATGGTAGGTGAAGGACATAGTTGGACAGACCAAAAGGGAAATATGGGACAACCCAAAAAAGTTGGTGGGATTGAGGGAGTATGACTGCCATATGTCAAAGTAGATAGATGATCGATCCTCGCACCATAAAGGATATGTTACAGTGATAGAACACTGGTAGAAATCAAACAGAACAGTAGAGAATCTATAGGAATTGAACTAAGAACAGATCACAATGTTTATTGAAGTAGGAGAATTTCGAAAAAGGTATACAATGCTAGGGACAATTCGAGATGCCCAATCTCCAGGTCTACAGCCAACCGAAATAACAGCCTCCCTTTCTATCTATTATTTACTTATTTATAGTAAGTATCCACGCAGGGCTAAACAGAAATTAACTAACTAGTTAGTTAACTGCTAACAGACTTCTTACTCCTCCTGTTGTAGACTTTATTAAAATATTGAATAGGCTGCTACACCATATGCCTATCAATACTCCTCCCCCTTAAAATTCACCTTGTCCTCAAGGTGAAGGTCTGGGAACTGTTCTGTCAATGACTGCAGTGATTCCCATGAGTCCTCAAACTTTGGTAGATCCTTCCAGTGTACAAGCACTTCCATCTTCCCTTCTTTGTCAACCCTTGAGTCCAAAACCTCTTCAGGTATCACCTGTAACTCTAATTCTTCACCGAGACATTTGGGTAGGGGCTGATAAACAGTTGTAGGTGATATGGCTTTCTTCGGTAGTGATATATGAAAAACTGGGTGTACTTTACTATCTTCTGCCTTCTGGTAACTTGAGCTTAAAAGCTACAGAACTTATTTTTCCAATAACCTCAAAGGGGCCATAGTATATGGGGCTTAGTTTCTGATTTATTCTTTTAGCTAAACTCTTTAGCTTGTAGGGTTGAATCTTCAGATAAACCTTGTCTCCAATTTCCAACAAGACCTCCCTCCTATGCTTGTTGGCTTGCTGTTTCATCTGATTTTGAGCCCTCTCCAGATTATCTTTTAATTCCTTAATCATCACATTTATCTGAGCAGTCAATTGAGATACTTCCTCCACAGCTGTAAGAGTTGCATCCCCTCTAATAACAGCAGGTGGATCCTGACCATATAAAGCTTTATAGGGTGTCATTTTCAGTGAAGTATGGTAATTGGTATTATACCAAAACTCAGCCCAAGCCAACCATTTAACCCACTGTCTGGGAGTTTCTCCCTGTTAGGCATCTCAAATAAGTTTACAGACACCTGTTGACTACCTCAGTCTGACCATCAATCTGAAGATGGTAAGCAGTGTTGTATTTTAGCCGAGTTCCAGCCATCTTGAAAAGCTCAGACCAAAATGTACTCAGAAAAATACTATCCCTGTCACTTACAATGGTTTTAGGAAAACCATGTAACTTTACCACCTCCCTTATGAACAATTCTGCCACTTCCTTGGCATTAAATGGGTGAGAAAGAGCCAAAAAATGAGCAGATTTGGTCAATCTGTCCACAATGACCAATACAGTATCCTTTCCCTGGGATTTAGGTAAGCCACCAATAAAATCCATACTAATATCAGTCCATATGCTCTGAGGAATCGGTAGTGGTTGTAGTAATCCTGCTGGTTTAAGAGCTTGGTATTTGTTTGTTTGGCAAGTAGCACACCCATCAACATATTTCTTTACATCTCTTCTCATACCATGCCAATAAAACAAATTAGAGATCCTTTTCATGGTCCTAAAATAACCTGAATGGCCTCCCACTGCAGAATCATGATACTCATTCAGTATTTTGATTACTCTAGGGGATTCTCTTGGTAACACCAGTCTCTTCTTGTAATATAGTAACCCCTTAGTAATCTGAAATTCAGAATTTTTACCCGGCTGAGAAATGATATTCTGAATTATTGCTTGACATTTAGGATCTGCAATCAACTCCTCTTCCAATTCTTCCCACTCTTGGCAAGTGACAATGGATAAAGATTTTAGGAAAGGTCTTCTGGATAATGAATCTGCAGCCCTATTTTCCACCCCAGGTTTATATTTGATGGTAAAATTATACCCCAATAGTTTGGATGTCCATTTTTGTTGTTCCGCCCCCATCAATCTTTTCTCAGTCAAAAACCTTAAGCTCTTTTGATCAGTGTGAACCTCAAAGGTTCTCCCCAGTAAATATGGTCTCCAATTTTGGACTACTAGTACAATGGCCATTAATTCCCTTTCATATACTGACCTGTTCTGATTTCTCTTAGATAACTCCTTGCTCATATATGCAATAGGTCTTCCCTCTTGCATCAAAAAAGCTCCAAGACCTGTCCCAGAAGCATCAGTTTCTACTATGAACACTTTGTTGAAATTTGGGGCTGCTAGGACTGGCAAAGTGGTCATAGTTCTTTTCAACTCCTCAAAAGCACTAGTAGCAGATGGTCCCCATTGAAAACTATCCTTCTTAAGAAGTTGTGTCCGGGGTAAAGCAATCTTGCTATACCCCTTCACAAACCTTCTGTAATATCCAGTTAATCCCAGAAAGCCTCTTAGTCCTTTCAAATCCTTGGGTTCTGGCCACTGAACCATAGCCTCTATCTTGGTAGGATCAGCTGCAGCTTCACTACCTGATATGATGTGACCCAAGTAGATTAACTGTGACTCCCCAAAAGAATATTTTTTTATATTAATAAACAACTGATTTTCCTTCAAAGCAAATAGAACCCTCCTCAAATGTTCCTGATGCTCTTCCTTAGACTTGTTGTAGATAAGAATGTCATTAAAGAAAACCAAAGCAAATTTCCTTAGAAAAGGCCTCAGAACTTGATTCATGAGAGCCTGAAAAGTGGAAGGGGCATTTGTCAAGCCAAAAGGCATCACCAAATATTCATAATGCCCTTCATGAGTCCTGAAAGCTGTTTTCTGCCTGTATTCTTCCTTCATTCTGATCGGGTGATAGCCAGATTTCAGATCCAACTTAGAGAAAATCATAACTTCACCTAGTTCATCCAGTAACTCCTCAATGATTGGTATAGGAAATTTGTCAGGTATAGTAATCTTGTTCAGGGCCCTATAATCCCCAAAACCTCCATCCCCCATCTTTCTTCATTGCTAGTAATATAGGGCTACTGTAGGAGCTATTGTTATGCTGAATTATACCATCATTTAACATTACTTTTATAATCCTTTCAATCTCAGTTTTCTGATATTGTGGGTAACTGTAGGGTCTTATATTTGGGATAGAAGCTCCTTCTTGGATGTGGATGGCATGATCACATGTCCTACTAGGTGGTAATTTCTTCATAGGTAGAGAAACTTCTGGAAACTCTGCCAGAATGTGCTTCCAGGTTTCATCCCCTTCTTCATCCTCCTTCAAATCAACTGAATTTCCTTCACAAAAAACAAAATATCCATCCCCAGCATCCTTTATAATCTGAGTCATGGTTTTCAAAGAAACCTCAAGGGAATTAAGGTGAGAATCCCCTTGAATCATTTGAAGCATTCATTTTTCTCTCCACTTGATACTCTGCTTTTGGAAATTGACCTCTACATCTCAAAAACTTGTCAACCATTCCATTCCTAGTACCAAATCAGTGCCACCGAAATCCAGGATGTAGAAATCCTGTTGTATTACTGTCTCATGTAAGCATAGAGTCATTCCCTCACATCTGCCATTGTTGGCAATTCTTTTCCCATTACCAATCTGAACTTTATACCCTGTAATGGTGTTATCAGGTATTTTCAGTTGGTCTACCATCTTTTGAGATATAAAATTATGTGTAGCCCCCACTATCAATGAGTACTTCTACCACTTCTTCTTCCAGATTCCATTTTAAACATCCTTTCACCTTGAAAGCCCTCATAGAAGGTATTCCCTCCTTACTCATAAGAGAAAGTTGCATGGACTTAGATTCCATGACAACTTCCTCTTCTTCTGGAATTTCCACATCTGCCCCCTCTATTTCCTCTTCCCTATCTGAATCTTCTACAAGTATCAGTTTATAATTCTCTAATTTGCAAGTGTGTTCCCTACTCCACTTCTCACCACATTTGAAACAGAGCCCTTTCCTGCTCCTATCCTGATACTCCTCCTGAGACAACTGCAGTCCCACCCTTCTGATTCCATATGGGTTGATTTCAGTCATCTTCTTCCCCAACGACCCCACAGGATTAAACCAAGACTGGTTACTCTTGTTCTCTGCTACATTCTTTCCAGTGTTATTAGACCAAGAGTTGCCTGATTTAGATTTGAATCCTTCTCCCCATGCCTGAGGTTTAGAGGTTACAAGTCCTTTTTCCTTCCAGGATACTTTGTCATCTCCTTTGCTTCTCAAATAGATAGCACCATTCCTTTGTTCAATCAACAGTGCTCTATCCATTATTTCAGACAAGGACCTTGAATTGTACAGTTTCAGTTCAGTCTTAATCTCCTCCTTAAGACCGGTAATAAAAATACCTCTCAGTATTCCCCTATCAACATTCCTTTGGGGTGCAATGATCATTTCAAATTCATCTCTGTACTCCTTCACAGTCCCAACTTGTTTAAGACTCAGCATAGGTCCATAAGGATTCTGGATCAAATCAGGTTGAAATCTATGAATAATAGATTCCTTCAATGCTTCCCAGTTCTTCTGCTCAGTTTGGTTTTCCCACCACTGAAACCAATTTAGAGCTCTATCCTCCATAGCAACCGCACAGTTTGGTTTTCCCACCACTGAAACCAATTTAGAGCTCTATCCTCCATAGCGACCACAGATGCTTCTACTTTATCCTCTTCCTCAATTTGATTCAATCTGAAATACCTCTCCATCCTCACAATCCAGTTATAAGCTCCCTCTCCATTAAACAAAGGCAAATCTCCCTTCCTACCCGTATGGATTGGAATTCTAGTGTTTTCAGTACTTCTTCGATGATTATGGATGTGAGAGTGTACGGAATTACCTCTGGAGGCTGTCGGACTGTTCGATGATCGCGTATCATGTTGATGTGGCGTTCGCGACCTTCCTCTGGCTTGAAGTTGTTCTTCATCGCGGCCATGGTTGCCGCGATGTTATCCATTGTTGACTTCATCTCCAAATAGTTTCGCTCCAGCGAATCCACTCGATTCTCCATTTTAGCTCTCGTTCTAACCATTCACAGCTGAAACGAGAAGTTCCTGGCGCTACGACAACAATTCCGGTCACCAGAAACGACTGCTCTGATACCAATGATAGAACACTGGTAGAAATCAAACAGAACAGTAGAGAATCTATAGGAATTGAACTAAGAACAGATCACGATGTTTATTGAAGTAGGAGAATTTCGAATAAGGTATACAAAGCTAGGGACAATTCGAGAAGCCCAATCTCCAGGTCTACAGCCAACCGAAATAGTGGCCTCCCTTTCTAGCTATTATTTACTTATTTATAGTAAGTATCCACGCAGGGATAAACAGAAATTAACTAATTAGTTAGTTAACTGCTAACAGACTTCTTACTCCTCCTATTGTAGACTTTATTAAAATATTGAATAGGCTGCTGCACCATATGCCTATCATACAGTATAGTGCCACTCTGCCAGTTACTACTGGGCTTGCTGCAACAGGACTTGTGTTCCTATTTTTCCTTTTTATTAGCATAGGAGACATACAACGGTTTCAAAAGTTATAAAAATTGTCGTACCAGAAGATAAGAAAGATGAGGCACGTCCTATTGAAGTTTCTTTCCTTTGATCTTCCATCCTATCCACAAGTCCAAAAGTACATAATTAATATAACCATTTTCCTTAGAAGTAGACGCAGTAAAGAACCACACATACTTGACTCTGCCTGAGAATGGAATTTCTTCTTTGACGGTAACATCTCCAACAGCATTATAACCTACATAGATTCAGACCAAAACGACTCAATCTTAAGCCAAAAAAGATGCATAAGTTCTCAATACAAGATCAATATGAAACTCTTACTTTGAATAAGATGTAAAGTAGTCATTCATACTATTCAATAAAAGATCAATTTTGGAAGCAAAGACTAAACTAAACTCAAAAGCACCTAAAATAAAAGGAAGCAACCTTTTTTAAATTCATCCTGCTCCTTGGCCATGGCCAAGAGTTCTTCTCTATTTTTCCCCCTAACGTGAGACATGTCCTGGGTAAATAAAGCAAAGCACAAGCTGAACTGTCACTTGAGATTGAAGCATTTAGAGTAGTATTTTGTTACATGCCAAAAGCACAACATACCGGAAGAGGGAAACATGGGGAGTTCATATATATTGCATTATAGTGATTAAAACACTGCTGTTTACTTTTTGTTCCAACATGTTCTGCAACATCATTCCAACTTCCTAATCCATGCATTTCGATACCCTACACAGGAAAGGGTAATTGGGTCTTAGGGGATGGACTAGTTATGGTCCAGGTAAAATGAAAAACGGATTCTTCATTCTCCAGAGAAAATTTTGTATAAAGTTCAGAAGAGAAAAATGCTAATGGAGTTGTTAACAAATAGCAGACAAATCGTCTAGGAAATAGAGTTGAGAAATTCTCTATCAATTTAGAGACTACCTCTAGAAGTAGTATCTCCTCATCAGCACTCCAGTCAGGACAGATGAGTGGAAATGACAAGTTATCCTGTTAAAGGGGAGCACCTACTACATTACCAAATATAACTTGTAGAAAACACTGTAATGAAAAGAAGAAAAGGATAGTGTGTCCATGAGAAAATATGGGAATAACACGATCACATGGATGGAAAAAAATGTAGATGATGCAAGATATGAACATTACTAAGGTCACTAACCATGACCCTGTAAGGATGATTGCTTTTGTGAGGATGTATTTCTGCTCCAACAGAAAAGCATTCGATGCAAAGGTCAAAATCAGAGCATAATGCACATTTAATACGGATCTTCCCTGAGATGTCTTTGTTGCAGTAATTACAGTGGTATAAAGCCTTTTTTCCATCATTCAAACCTTGACCTTTTAGATGGAATAAATAAATGAATGAGCTGCTTGTAAATGAAAAAAAATTACTAAAATCTGTTGAGCAAGACTTGACCGCTAAGACAATATTTGTAGCATTATAAGTCCATAAGTATTTCTATATAGCAGGAATGTATATTGTAGTTAAAACAACTTCCTTCCTGTTTTTCTTTAGCAATGGCCAAAGTAGATGAGAAGAAGGCGTCACATCAAAAGATATTTTATAAGTATATTACAAACACAAGCATTGCATTTTTACAATTGCTTCTTATTGCAACTGTAATCCCAAATGAAGTCCATTTGGTAATTAGTGGTTATATGGGAGGGCGATCACACCTGCTGTTCCCGTCTCCAAACTCTCGACACTTTGGGCAGTCCGTTTCCTCTTTGAGCGACTGAAAATTACACAGGAAGAAGGATGGATACATATATATGTGTGTGTGTGATATTATACTAAAACCATTACAACTTCACTATGAATAAAAAATGAAGCAAAAGAAAAGGTAAAGCAAATATTTCTGCATGGTAAAATTTTCTTCTCCTAAACTACACCTAAGTACCTAACACATTTCCTTGTATTCATTTTCTCATTAACAGGGAAAATGATGCATTGCTTTTATGATCAGGGGGGACATTTTCCCCCTGTCAACCCCTGTATATATATATATATATATATATATATATATATATATATATGCACTTATTAATTTGTGTTACTTATTAAATAGTTGTGTATTAATACTAAATGGTGTCCAAAGTAACAACATATGCAATTAGAGGAGTGGGTCTTCGGTCACGCGGGTGTTCACATGTGTCTCAAGGAACGAGGGTTCAAATCCCATCCAATACTTTATTTTTTTTAGTGTTTTTATGGATTTTAGCAAATTTGAAATGGATTTTTTTTATCGTAATTTGAAATGGATTTAGATAGTTTTGTTTATTTTTTACATGTTTGAAAGATGGGGTAGTTTGAGTTTTGCACCCCAAATTGGACTTTGCGCCCCATTTTTAAAAATCTTTGTTTTTGCACCCCAACTCCGTATGAAAAGACAAAAATGCCCCTCCATTAACAATTTTGTTGGCCTTCAACATATTTCTGATCGAGGGGCATTTTTGTCTTTTCATACGGGGTTGGGGTGCAAAAAAATGATTTTTATAAACAGGGTGCAAAGTCCAATTTGGACAATAAAATGAGGTGCAAACTCAAATTACCCCTTGAAAGATCTAAATTCACTTCAAATAAGTAAATTTTAATTTAACATATCATTGGTAACTATTTATAACTACATCTTTGCACATAACATTATACCGAAGCATGATTTTTGAACATACTTGTGCATTTGCAATATAAATTAATTCTAAATGCATACTAGATCCATCATTTATTTAATTCATTTATTTATTGAGATAGTTTTAAACATATTACAAATTATGTTATTAAAATTTGTTTCTAAGAAAGTGAAATTATATCAGCAATGAAATATTCTATTTAAAATGTGGAGTTAATTTTTTTAAAACAGGAAAAAAATATAAAGTTTGATATCATAATGTTTGTCAAAAGACTAGTTTGTTATTTACTTCGTATTTATAATTGACCTTAGAATATATGATTCATAATGTGATCGATTAGTTGTAAAATCTGTGTGATAAGTCTAAGTTCAACCCCTTGACCAAAAATCCTAGATAAGCCATTGCTCTCACTGTGAGTGCTAGTTGTAAGCCGTATTTACTTATGAGAACGAAGCTATTTCTCAACATTCTCATTCAAAAAGGGACTTCTATGCAAATGTCAGTCACGTTTGCATCTTAAATTTTAAGCAAATGGAGGCAGAAAGCATTGAAGCAGGTTGGTTGTTGATTTCTACTGCAACATTACTTTCATAATTTTACTGTTATATTTGTATGTTGACCAGCATTCCCCCCTAAAGTCTTATTCGGCCATCATACATAGTTAAGATATACTCATATTCTAACAACCACAGCTTTACTTTATTCCTCTATACTCTGTATTTTCTTAGCTAATCATCTGAATTTGCAAGTTAGGACTACAATCAAATTTCACTAAGAAATATTACCACATAACAAATGGAACAATCTTTAAAAGTATTGGATTTTTAGATTCGGAAAAGCGGACCTCTGACTGGGGTCATCGTCGGCGGGGTGAGACACAGCTCGCGAACGACCCATCGGAGCTCAATTATAGCCCCCGCTGGGGAAAAAACGGTCCTGATGTTGGAAATTGGGAGTTTTTGTTGGCCGGAGAAGATGAGAATCCCTGGTAGTCCGGGCTACTTTTCGGGTCCGATGACCCGGGTCCAAAGTTTAAAGAGGTACTCCGTACTATCTTTTTTCGTAGACTAATGAAATGTTGCGATTTGGGTCAGCTTATTCTAAAAGGCATACGATGGACATTATTTTTTTTAATTACTTTCTCATGACTCATATTATCCTCCGTTATTTAAAAGTTGTAACATTTTGATTTTTACATTTGTCAACGAACAACTTTAATTGTAATTCTATTTAATTATGTATTAGTAAACATTAAAATATTTAATAATAATAATTTAATAATTATTAGAAAGTCGTAGTCAAAGTAAAGTACGTGAATAGTGCAGAAATCTCAATGTTGCAACTTTTAAAGAACCAAGGAAGTATATTATACTACATCCGTCCTACTAACATTCGGATAAAGGGGTAGCACAATTATTAAGAAAAACGAGTTTATGTGATTCATATTGAATTCATAGAGTAGAAATTAAGTAAAAATAATTTATAGTCACACAAGCTTTATCAAATTTTGTATGGAACAATCTTAGTGGGATTTCCGAAAAGGAAAAATGGGACAAATCTTAGCGGGCGGAGAGAGTACATATTAGTATTTGTTCTATTAAATGTTAAAGTGTCAAAGATTGAGATTTGATTTTATGATCTCCTCCTAAAGAGTGATGTCATTGAATCACAAGTTGTTTGACTGATAGATTTTTTTTAGTGTTTTCGGTAGATATAGTAAGTTAAGATGTTGGTAATTAAGTTCTTTTTAGAGTACGTAAGTGGTCAATAAAGATATGTGTAGTATTTATAGGAAGGATTTGTTGTGTGTTAATAGAGAGTTAATGGACCTTAATGTTGGACATCAATGACCAGACCGTTGGGCATTGAATCATCCACGAACTGTCCTTTAACCGCTGCATAAAGGCATTGAATCATCCAAGAACGTGGAAAAGTACGGAAAAGGCACATTTTGTAACACCGTCCCCAAGTATATTTACTTTTATGTAAATTATGTATTGAACATTGAGGAATAATTAATGAATTTATGAGATTGTAAATTTATATTATTTCTTTTGCGTGAATAGTGACTTGCAGGTGGGGCCCACACCGGGAGAGGGAACCATCTGATACTCCCGGGACCACATATTATATTCATCTTGGTCTAGAAAATATTGATATGGTGGTGGATATGCTTGTTGGGCCATAGGAAAGGCATAAAGTTGACCAGTTGGTCAAACGAGACCCAAACACCGGTATTGGTAAATTATCAGATAACAGGCCTTAATAAATTTCGGGGACTCTGAAATTAAAGTTGAGAAATGTATGCTCATTCTAAAGGTCCATAGTAATTGGGAATATGATATATATTTTATTTGGTCCGTTAAAATAAAATATAATTAAAACAATCCGAAAAATACAACTTTTGAGGCCAAATATACATTTCGGGACACAAAGAGATGACCACCCACATGAGTGGGGTCACCCCACGTTTTTGTGTGCTCAAATTGATTATGGAGGGCCGGTTTGACATGGGAGGACGGTGGAGTGAGGTGATGAACATCAAAAGTACAATGAGGGACCCTTCTCCCTCACTCATTTACCAAGGAAGAGAGAAGAAAGCCCTCCAAACACTTATCACCATAGCCAAATTTGAGCTCAAGCTCAAGGAGGTCCAAAAAGGAAGATTAAGGAGGAAAAGGGAGGAAAAGTGTGAAGGATTAAGGTAATGACCTCATAACAACTCTTTCTCTACTCTTTATCTACCATATAAGTTGCATATCATTTGAGGAACCTCTAGGATTGTTCTTCATGTTTAGAAATGTAGAATGAGGGGTTGGAAGGTGGTTCTAAGTCCAAGAACGGACTTAGAAGCCAAAGTGACTGGTTCGCCGGAAAATAACCTTTTAGAGGTTGTTTGTGTTGATATGGGTTTTGTGATTTTGAAATCTTGTTAAGAACTTGTCTAATGAGTTCCTAGTTCTTTCACGAAGTTGAAAGAGTCGCCCGAATTGTAGTCGGAGTTCAACGAAGTTTGTCGGAGTTTCACCGGAGTTCAACCAAGAAGGGTAGAACCTCTTAACGTTCATTCGAGGTGAGTGGACGATTTAATGTCTTGTAACTATTGGATTAAGTATGAAATTACCTAAGTAAAAGGTATATGTATTCATAGTGATGTTTAAAAGAGTTTAATCATGAGATATGCCGAGGAGATTAGGCTTATGTGAACAAAAATAGTATATTATGCATGTAATTGGAAAAAAATGCATATAAAAACATATGTGATGTTTTTAATGGCCAAAAGGCATTTATTGATTGTTTAAGACTTAATACATATTGTGTATAAGTTTCGGATCAAACAGAGCACGTTTCGGGGGTCAACGGGTCGGGCCGCATCTCGCGCCTCTAGGGGTAAAGGGGAGGGGCTCGTGGAGGCCGCCGTGGCCAAACTGTGAGCAATGGTCATGTGAGCTTGATGTATGAAACTAACACCGAGAACTATGACTCGACCTTTGTTCCTGAAACATAACATGAGAAGACCCCATACGATGTGGGTGATATCCATATGATGATGATGATGATGAAAGTGATGCCCGTTTTGCTCAAATGGGTGAGGTACTCGAGTGGTACTAAAAAGAGAAACAAAGAAGAGAACTTAGATGTCAAGCTAGGTGTGCCTCTCAAGGAGGCTCGGGTCAAGGGAGCAGGGAAGCTTCAATGGCCGTTTCAGGGACGTCCCAAGGTGGACTTGTAAGAGATTTCTGTGTTAGAATCTCCAAACACTCGAGGACATGCTGAGAGCATGTATGTTAGACCTACAAGGGTCATGGGACGAACACTTAGACTTAATAGAGTTATCGTACAACAATAGCTACCACACCAGTATCAAAATGGCCCCGTACGAAGCTCTATATGGTCAAAAGTGTAGAAGCCCACTATGCTGGAGTGACATGGTAGATCAAGTGGTGTTAGGGCCGGATTACCTCCAAGACACCATGGAGAAAATGAAGATGATTCAAGCGAGGATGAAAGCTGCACAAGATCGTCAGAAGTCTTATGCAGACTTGGGAAGGAAGTCAGCCGAATTCGAAGCGGGAGAGAAAGTCATGCTCAGAGTCTCCCCGACCAAGGGAGTAATGAGATTTGGAAGGAAGGGAAAGCTAAGCCCGAGGTTCATTGGCCCATATGATATCCTCGAGCGAGTGGGAAGAGGGGCATATTGTCTAGCTCTACCCATCGAGTTGGCCAAGGTATAACATACTATAACCGCTCGTTAGTGAATACCTTAATAAAAATCTCTCAAATACTAAAGTGTGTATTATGCGTAGGTACACAACGTTTTCCATATCTCACAATTGAAGAAGTATGTCCACGATGAATCGCATATTCTTAGCCCCGAGGTACGAATCGTAACCTTATGATAGTTGGAATCACATCTAACCTCGACTCTCTTAGGTGGTCGAGTTGGATGAATCGTTGACTTATGAAGAGAGGCCGATCCAGATTTTGGACGCTAAGACTCGTGAGACTAGAAGAAAAGCGGTGAAGATGGTGAAGGTGTTGTGGTCTAACCACTTGGCCAAAAATGCCATCTGGGAGACTGAGGAAGATATGCGCAAACGCTACCCAGAGTTATTTGATTATGGTAAAATTTTAGTTACGAGGACGTAACCTCTCTTTAAGGGGGTAGAATGTAATACTTAAGAATTTGGTTATTTGATTTTAGTTAATGTTTCGGGACGAAACATCTTTTAAGGAAGATAGAATGTGACACTCCAAAAATTTAAATAAAAATAAAAACAATTTTTATTACTTAGATAAAATGTTACGTAAATAACATTTTAATTATTATTTGAGTCAAACAAATTTAACAGTTGTGACATTCTAACCAGATAAAATTCTCAAGTTTACGACATTTTAATCAGATAAAAATGGTCCGATAATAGAAGTAACGTTTTAGTATAAAATTAATTTTTATATAATATACAAAGTATAATATACAAAGTACAAATTGAATGTAATATACATACATACATACATACATACATACATACATACATACATACATACATACATACATACATACATACATACATACATACATACATACATACATACATACATACATACATACATACATACATACATACATACATACATATATTAATCTACATGCTATGTATACTCCTAATACGTAATATATATACTCGTAAGTAATATATTAATAATATTAATTGTTAGCATAATAATACACTTACGGAGGGAGTAATACGTAAAGCCTATATGCTTAGACTACACAACCTAATATGTGCGTGTATATACATATTATATAGCTATAATAACAAAAAAATCATATACAGAATACTTCATATATACTTGGCAGTTGGCACCCACGCGTATGAGCCTGCAGCCGCTTCAGCTATATTTACGACCACATTCAGAAGTTGAAGAGAACACAACTCTCCGTCGATAAACCTACGTACAAAAAAATGCAGAGATAAGCACAAAGCTGATAGAATTTAACTCAAACTCTAACACAGCTTGGAGCCTTGACCTACCCCTATAAATAGTTGCCCAGACCTACGTTTTAACCCGCCAAAAGCTGAGCTCGACTTTTATATATATATATATATATATATATATATATATATATATATATATATATATATATATATATATATATATATATATATATATATATATATATATCTGTGTGTGTGTGTGTGACGGATAGTGTACCCGGGGGTAGCTTATCCGAGGGGTTATTGCGGGAATAACTTAGAGAGAAGTCACAACAAATAAGTAAGAGAGAGAGTGTATATTCGATATGAATTCAGCGTGGTTTACAATGGGGAAAGGGGCTGCTATTTATAGTAGTCATAAATGCTAGACAGGGACACGTGTCAAGCATCTGACGGCCGAGGGTCACCTCAATCGGGGTGGCACCGGCATTTGCATGTGGCCGCATTAAATGCGGCGGTTGGATGTGATGTTGTACTTGGTACGGTGATTCAAGCGCATGTGGAGAGGATATTTTGTCGAAGAAGGTGCCTTCGACTGAAGGGTGTTGGGCCGAAGGCTCTTCTAACCGGGGGCCGAGGGCTATATATGCCGATGGCTTGGTTTTCACGTCTTGTTCTCCTGTGATGTTTCTGAGCTCCATTCTGTCAATGGTAGCCTTCGGTCATGGGGCCGAAGCCCCCCCCCCTTGCGTATTGTGAGTTGTTTAGGGCTTCATTTTGCTAGGCTTGGCCCGTTCTGGCCTTTTGAGCCTGATTGTAGTTGTGGAGGTATGTGGGCCGAGGGTCCCTGGGCCATATACTCCATCAGGAGTCCCTCACTCCTTTTGCCGAAAGGTACTTGAGGGAAAATGAGTAATTTTATCCTCTGATGCCGATGTTTGCTTTGTTGTAGTTTGTAAACTTGTGGGAGATTTGTGTTACATGGTTTTGCCGAGGGCAGACCCTCAGTCCCCCACACTTTGGGACTGAAGGATTTTGTTGATGTTTTTAATATTTTGTGATTTTCCCGAGGGAGGTTCTCCAGTCCCCCACTCCTTGAGGCACATGTAATGTGGTGAGAAGGAGTAGAGCAGTGTTGTGTTTAGCACAGGGCCGAGGGCTAACGCTTTTCATTTCATTTTGGGGAGATGTCTTGTTAAAAACCTCATTAGGAAAAACCATGTGGGAAAAATCCTGATGAGGGAAAAAGAGTGCACTGGGTTCCCCCAATGATGAATCGAAAAGGTGGACCCTTGGCATGAGTACGATGTTGATGCCGGAGGGTTTTTTCGCCTGTTGCTCGAAGGCTGCGCGTTGATATCTCAGGGTCACCGAGGGCAGTCCCTCAGTCATTGGGGTTGAGGACGTGATTATTGCAGATGAATACGAGGGTGATTGTTCCTGTGTTGCCGAGGGGTTCCCTGATTCTCAATATCCTGGTTCTCAATATATTGAGGGCTAAGGGTTCCCGAGGGGTTACCATCTTTATGGTGGGGGCTCACCCGTGATGAAGGAGTCTTAAAGAGTTAGACCGAAGGCTTGCGTAGTTATTGCTAGAGGGGTGTCAGCTGGGATATGACCGTTGGAATATGACCGCTGGAGGTGGCTGTCCACGTGGCGTGTACCCGTTGGCCGATTTCGGGCGGGAGTCACCGGTTGGCTGAAGCGACGGTTCATAATGATGATTTTGTGATCGGGGGCCCAGATTTTCGGCCCAAAACCGAGATGAGGAGCCTATAAATACCCCTAAGGCCGGACTTATTTCCTTGTGCGATTTTATTGTAGTGAAGCTCTGGCTGATTTTTTCTAGAGAGAGAAGTGCTTGTTCGATCAAAAACCACTTCTGAGGTCACTTCTTCACCTGTTCTTCACTCCCTTAGCATATTTTTGGTGTGCTGCCCATAGATCTAGTGTTAGAGACCTTAGGAGAATCTTTTCCCTCGAACCCTTCTATCCCAGAGAATGTCATCCCAGAGTGATTCCCAAGATATCTCGAGGGAGCTTTCGGCTGATGCGGAAAGCATCTTAGACGTGGAGTCTTCCAGCGGACAGCCTTCGGTAAGTGGTGATTCCACCGTGGCCATGGAGGTGCAAAAAGACCTCATTGCTAAAGCTGATGCCGAGGATTTCAAGCAGGTAGAGGAAGACGAAGAGATGGCCGTCATGGTGCGAACTGCCGAAGAGGAGGAGGAGAGGGAAAGGATGCAGGTTACCGTTGCCATCCTCCCACCATGTAACGCTGGTGAGGCCAGCAGCTCTAGGCCCCTGGACCCGACGCCTCTCAGGGTGGCCCTGGGGAAGAAGAAGAAGGCCAAGGCCGTGCCGAAAAAGAAGCAAGTAGCCGTAGACGCGGGGCGGCCGGTAGGTATCCCCAAGGGCCACTCCTTTCTGAACACCGCTGCCCTGGAGTTGAAGACGAGGGCATCCCCTGCTGACTACCAGGCTACTCAGATCCTTGACGGCCCATCGGCACGCGTGGTGGAACCAGGGCCAGATGAGTTGTTACTGCATGCACCCGAGGGCTGTTTCACCGTCCACATTTTATCAGTGGAAATGGGGCTTCGATTTCCGCTCCACCCTTTCCTGCTGGAGTACCTAAGGTACGTGAGGCTGGCCCCCTGTCAGCTGACACCCAACAGCCATTCTTATGTGGTTGGATTTCTCTGCCTCTGTCAGAGCCGGGGGGTCGAGTCTACTTTGGACTAGTTCTTCCTCTCTTTCAATCTCTACCGGGGGCATTCCAATGCCGGAGGCTTCGCCAACCTTCAGCAGGTCCCGGAGTTCAGGCTTTTCGATGAGGTCCCTTCATCCCACAAGGGATGGAAGGATAAGTTCTGTTACATCTGCTTGACGGAGAACCCCTTCCTTGCTCCCCTCCGTGATAGCTTCCGAAGACACCCGAAGGTAGAGGGTGCCACTCTCGAGAAGAATTGCAGGAAACTCTGCAAGAAGCCGGAGGGGTCTGATAAGCATGTGAAGATCAAAGACGCCACCCTCCTTGATGAGCTGTATGACTTGCACTTCCGTCGGTACCGCCTGGTGGGGGAGGAAGATGAAAGATACCCCCCGATAGATCGTGTCTACGAGAGTCTCGGAGGTGATTTCCCGAGGGTTTTCCGTTTTGTACTTAGGAAGTTTTTTTTTGTGATTCATATATGCTTTTGTGTTCATGCCTTCGGTCTCACACCTGACGTGTTTTTGCAGGTAGCAATATGGACGTAAACTCCCTCTTCGCTCTGAAGAAACAAAAGGCGAAGAAGAAGGACCCCTCGGGTCAGAAGCCGGTTGATGATCTTTTCTAGAAGGGCGGGGAGGAGTCTTCCAAAGCTACCGCCGCCGGTGTTGGAGCGAGGAGCTCCCAGGGCGAGGGGGCCCTGAAGAAGAAAAGGGGAGGCAATGGGGTTGAGCTTCCGGCCAAGAAGCCGAAGGATGTGGACTCTGGCAAACAGCCCGCCAACGACGAAGTCATCATTATGGATGATGTTGGCGCCCTCGGTTCTATCCCCCAGGAGCACGTCAGTCAGGACTTCTTCAGACGGGAGAAGTTGGAGGCCATTTTACCGAGGGGGCCCTCCATCCTGGAAGGTAGCCTCAGCCCCTCGGCGCTGATGAGAAAGGTTATGCCCTCAACTGACCGGTTGGCCCTCACCCGGATGGATGAAAGCACCATTGAGGCAAAGATTCTTCTGAGTAGCGCCTTCGTGAGTCACGTCTCTCTTCCCTTCGCATTCATTTTTGTCATTATGTAATGTGCACAATGTGTCTAACTGTCTTCCTCGTTATTGCAGAACTTCATGGGCCTCTGTGAGTACCTCCGGAGGGTTGAACAGATGAGGGAGGCCAGGGGTGCTGCTGATGCAGAGGCTGTTAACCTCAGAAAGATGCTGGCCGAAGCCGAAGACTCCCTCTGCATGGCCACTGAGAGCATGGAGCAGTGGGTGCAAGCTGCCAAGGCTCAGGGCATAGCCGAGGCCAAGGTGACGGGCGCCAAAGTTGCAAGGGTTGCTGCTGAGGAGGCCGAGAGGGCGAAGGCCGAAGAGGTGGCCAAAGCTGAGAGGGTTGTTGTGGAGGCATTCGTCACTGGGGGCTGGATGGGAGAGGACAGGGAAAGCTGGGTCTCCTCGGTGGTGGAGAAGAAGGTTGACTCTTGGGTCGAAGGCCCTGGAAAAATGTGGCTGGCTGTGAAGGGTGATTCCTAGTACCAGGGCGGAGAGTTCTTCACCCAACGTCTCATCTACCGGAAGCTGGCTCAGCACTTCAACATCTTGCCGGAGGAGTTCCATCCTGAAGCTTATGGTCTTCCCCCTCAGCAACCAGACATCAAGATTCCCCTCCTCTCAGGTGAAGAGAGGCCAGTGCTGGAGCACTCTGAGACTATGAGAGAATGTGGCCTCGGTGATGAGGATGATGTCGATGGTGGTGCCACCTCAAAGGCCGCTGAGGAATGATTTGCATTTGTAAAATTTTTGAACAATCGTTTGTAACGATGTTTTTAGCCTCTGGCTCCGGCCCTTAAGAACAGTCTACTTTCTCTTTTTTTCTAGATGGATGTGTGGATGCCTTCGGGCTTTTTATGAATATCTTGAATGAATGCCTTCTGTTTCTTTTTTCTTTTCCTTCGTATGTGTATGGCTTCTTTGCGTACTTTATGTTGTTTAACTTGCCTTCTCTTTTGAAAGGATGCCTTCGCCTTCCATATGTCCGTTTTGGATAAATGCCCTCATTTTCTTTCATGCCTTCTTTGTAGCTGTATGAATGTATGTGAGTTGAACGAGGACCAAACATTTAGGACTTAGAAATATTTCTATGTGGTTTTCACTGCTGGGCCCTCGGCTGATATCTCCATTTACCACTGGGGGGTCCGGTGTTGTGGACTTAGCCATTTTTTGGGTATGTTGTGACATGCCTGAAGTAGTAGCCCTCGGTAGAAAGAAGTTTCCTTTAGGCAAGTTAGTTGATTCTTGACCCTCCTGCAGAAGAGGAGCCCCCCGGTGCTGATTGTAGTGCTGGAGGCTTTTGGAGTGTGGATTTGGGCAATCCTGTAACCCAACCATAGCATAGTAAGGGCGGATGCCTTCGACTCATGTTGAGACGGAGGGTGCTGCACATCAAGAGCTTTCGGAGTTGGCCACGGAAATGTGGGCCTTCGAACTCAGGCACCAAATGGAGTATTCCTTGAAATTTCGAAGGCTGTAGAAATTTGGACTTAACCAAATTCACCCTAATTGTTGGATTAGAGCCCATTGTACGTGGAAGCCCTCGGTATTGTCTGGTGTCATTGGCAACCGGATTGCGGACTTAACCATATTTTGGTAACACTTGTCGAATAATAGCCCTCGGAATAAGGGCCACTGTTCAAGGTGACTTTCTGAATAAGAGCCTTCGGGTACCAGAGGTGTTCCCTAGGGGAGCCTTCGGTATGATATGGATTGCCTTGCGAGAAGTATTCTTGCTAGCTGCTGACGGGTGTTTTGTTGTAAATTCATACTCATTGACTGCTCATTGAGTCTACTCCCCTTCACTCCATTTTGTTTTTTGGATAGTGAAGGGAAAGCATCAAGAAACTTGGTTTCTCGGTAAGGCTTGGCCTATCGGGAGGCAATGGTATACACCGTTGGCTCCCCCCTCGGGATTAACCTTCCAGGTTCTGAGGAAATCGAGGGTCGTTTCCTTGGCCCGAGACATAGTCTGTTGCCTGCCTCCCCTTGGGGGATGGCACGGAAAGCGCCTCAGTTTTGAAAGTCATTCCCTCTGCACGAGACATGGTATGTTGCCTGCCATTCCCTTGGGGTAATGGCGTGAGAAGCGTTTCGTTTTTGAAAGTCGAATCCTGGGCATATTAGTTGTCTGCCATTCCCTTGGGGTAATGGCGCGGAAAGCGTTTCAGGGAAGGGTTTTATTTGCATATTAGTTGCAAATGGTCGGGGCACTTGGTACCTCCGGCACCGATAGGTAGCGCCTTCGGTACAGTTGCGTCCTTGAGGGGTACGACTTTATTTTTTAACACTTGGTGTTATTTCTCACATTCTGCCCCCGGTACTAGGTACCGAGGGGTCTTCTTTTGAAAACACTTGATGTTTTTGTTATCGTAGTTGATTGGAGGTTCCACCTTCGGCACTTGGTGTCGGGGGCTCTTGTCTGTGATAAGGCCTTGGACCGAGAGCTTGTATGAGGGCTTAGCCGCTCACAAGCGTTTTGTTCTTTGTACTTGGTGTCTTTAACTTATCTTTATTCTTGAAAAATTGGGGGCCTTAGGCCACTGGATAATACATTCATGAGTTATGAGGGCTTGGCCGCTCTAACATCATTGATAAAATTTAACCAGGTGGTGTACATTCCAATGTCGAGGGACCTCGGTCCCATTGGGGCATTTGAGTTTGTAAGTTCCTGGCTTGATGATGGCTACAACGATATAGGGGCCTTCAAACTTCGGTGCCATCTTGCCACCTTCAGTTGGCTGGCTAACTTCTCTCCTTCGGAGGATGTTGTCCCCCACTTGAAATTCTCGGGAACGAACCTTGGCATCAATGTAGCCCTTTCTCTCGGCGTTCTGAGATCAGGTGAAGGTCGAGGTCCATGTTGGCATCGATGACCTCAGGCTCGTATTGGTCCACCCTTCGGGTAGGAAGGGTTACCTCAGTGGGAGCTTTGGCCTTGAATCCATAGAAAAGGGAGAAGGGCGTTTCGCTTGTTGCCCACTGAGGGGTAGTGCGGTAGGCCCATAGGATATTGTGAATCTCTTCTACCCATCCCCCCTTCAGCCTCAAGTTTCTTTTTTAGGACCTCAAGATAATTTCGGTTGACGTTCTCCACTCGACCGTTGCCCTGAGGGTAGGCAACGGACGAGAAAGTATGTTTGATGCCCCATGCCTCTAGGAGGGCACAGAAGGGGGTTGCCTCAAATTGAGTTCCGTTGTCGGAGATGATTTGTTGGGGGATGCCAAACCTCGTGAGGATGTTCTTGAGGACGAAGTGGTGGCACCTGGCCTTGGTAATGCTGGCGAGGGGCTCAGCCTCCACCCATTTGGTGAAGTAGTCGATGGCCACAATGATGTACCTATTGTTGGAGGTACCCCTCGGCAGGGGAGCCTACAAGGTCAATGCCCCACCTGGAGAAGGGGATTGTTGTGTTGATGGGGGCGTAGTTAACTGCTGGCCTTTCGGGGGCCTTCTGAAAATGTTGGCATGCGGCACACTTTCGAGCGAGGTCTGCACAGTCTCGGGCCATTGTAGTCCAGAAGTAACCTTGCATTATGAGCCTTCGGGACATGGAGAAGGGTCCTTGGTGGGCTGAGCAAGTGCCACTATGCACTTCCTCCATAGCAACTTCGACTTCATCTTGATGAAGGCACCGGAGTAATGTGCCGTTGTAGGATCATTTGTAAAGCCTCCCGTCTTCGATGGTGTAGCTGGGAGCCCTCAGCCTTGCTAGTTTTGCACGGGTTTCATCCTCGGGCAGTTGCCACGTGGAGATGAATTTCACGATATCTGACATCCAATCCTCAGGCCTTTGTTGTATGTTCATGACGGGGCTAGCGTGTATGCTCGAGAGGCTGAGTTCCTCAATTCTCGCAATCTTCGAGAGGTGCTCCGGGGATTCAGCCGAGGGTGCCAAGGGCTCCTCATCCACTGATGATCTTGTCGTGCATTCTGTCACGAAGTTCGCCAGGGCTTGGCCCTTTATGGCAGGCCTCGGACAGATGTCAATGTTGTACTGGCTAAGGAAGATGGCCCATTTTACCATTCAGGGGGAGCTGGTGGGGCTCCTCATCAAAGCACCGAGGGGTTGGTGTGTGAGGACCTGGACCGGATGGGATTGGAAGTAATGGCCTAGTTTCTTGACGGTCCAAACGATGGCCAGCACCATCTTTTCCACAGGAGAATACCTGAGTTCGGCCTCCTTGAGAGTCTTGCTAACATAGAAGATGGGATGTTAGATATCGTCTTCCTCCCGGATTAGCACAGAGCTGATGGCAGCAGGGCTAATGCCGAGGTAAAGGTACAGAGTTTCCCCCACATTGGGTTTGGAGAGCAGAGGGGGTGAAGATAAGTATCGCTTCAATTCGTCGAAGGCCTCCTGGCATTCTAATGTCCATTGGAAGCCGGCGGTCTTCCTCACGATCTGGAAGAAGGGAATGGATTTCTCCGCCGATTTGGATAGGAAGCGGTTGAGGGCTGCCAGGCGGCCCGTCAGCCTTTGGACTTCCTTCACATTGCGTGGGGCTCCATGTTGATGATGGCCTGGATTTTTCGAGGTTGGCCTCGATACCCCTTTGGCTCACCATATAGCCCAAGAATTTGCCTCCTTGCACTCCGAAAGTGCATTTCTTCGGGTTTAGCCGAAGGTTAAACTTTTGCATGATGGCGAAAATTTCCCGGAGGTCGTCAACATGGCTCGATTATTGTTAGCTTTTGACGATCATGTCGTCAACATAGGCCCCCATAGTGCGCCCTAGGATGACTTGAAAGACCCTGGCCACCATTCGGGTGTAGGTGGCGCCTGAATTTTTTAGGCCGAAGGCAATCACCAGATAGCAGAAGATGCCTTCGGGTGTCATGAAGGCTATTTTTCAGCATCTTCCTTGTGCATGAAGATTTGGTGATATCCGCGGAAAGCGTCGAGGAATGACATGATTTCGCATCCCGCTGTCTCGTCCACCAATTGGTCAATATTTGGCAGCGGGAAAGGGTCCATGGGGCACACCTTATTCAGATCCGTGTAGTCCACGCACATGCGGAAGGTGGGTGGCTTATGTGCGAGGACCACGTTGGCCAGCCCTGAGGGGTACTTTACCTCCTTGATGTGTTTGATGGAAAGGAGCATGGTGACCTCTTTCTTTACAAAATCCCTCCTTTCGTCCGAGAGGGGCCTTCTTCTTTGTTGCACGGGTTTGGAGGAAGGGTTCCCTGACAGGCAGTGAGTGATTACACTTCGGCAGATTCCTGGCATGTCCTCCGACCCCCATGCAAAAACAATGGAGTAGGCGTGGAGCGCATCTGTGATGCCGGTCTTCAAATCTTCAGGGAGCTGAGCGCCTATCTTCATGACTCTCTCCGGCTTGGCCGGATCGAGCGCAAAGTCTTCTACCTCTTCGGCTGGTTCTGCCCTCGGTCTCTTCTCTTCTTCCTCTACGGTCCCGGTGATGGTGTCCACATGGAACTCGGTTTTACTAACCTTCTTCGTTATTTGGAGGTAGCAGGTGAGTGTAAGCTTTTGGTTCCCCTTGAGTACCTGATGCCCCCTTCAGCAGGGAACTTGGGGCATAGGTGCCTCATGGAGATGACGGCCTCCAAGTCTTTGAGGGCGGGACGGGCGAGGATGATGTTGTGGGCGCAGTCGATGTTGATGACGACAAACTCCACCTCGAGCTTGGCTCTATGGAGCCCGTCACCGAAGAGTACCAGGAGGATTATTACCCCCTCGGAATCTATTGTATCTCCGGTGAAGCCTGACAGAGGGGTCCGGATAGGCCGAAGGGACTCCCTCTCCAGGAGCAGCTCCTTGAATGTGCTAAGGTACATTACGTTGACGGAGCTGTCCGTGTCAACGTAAGTTCTGTGGACAATGGTATTATTGATCTCGCTCTGGATCA